TTTACACATATGCCATTATAATTTGTGTTTTATTTTTTAATTGTACGGAATTATAAAATAAAACGCAAATTATAGTCGGGCCTGTTTTAGGCTTTTCCTTATTTTTTATATTATATTATATTTATATTATATTTTAGACCATCAATCAATTACGGTGATGAAAAAAACGACTCGCCGTCTCCTCATTGGACGTGCGTGCCGTGAGAGAAATGCATCTTTAATGAAAGAGTTTCTATTTTTGATTTGAATTATTTCGTTTTAAAGTAGTAATTTAAAGCTTTCTATATATTTTGATCATGTCTGAGTTTCGGTTCATCGTTGTGAAGCGTCCCGAGACGGCAGAAAGCGTTTGTTTTCTCTATTTTATAAAAGCACAATGTTTTATTGATATTATGAGTGCACACAAATAAAACTAGCCCCTTTACAGTTTATAATGATGTATTACTCTTACCTTTCTGAGCAAACATTAGTGGCATTCACATCAAACAGTGTTATGTAGCATCACAGAATCAGTGCTATTTTACTGTAATTGAGATACTGTTACTGTTTTCATTTTTATTTTCCCTTTTTAAGTTTTAGTAATTTTGTTGTTTGTTTTTGTCATTTTTAGTAGTTTTTGTTTTATATATATACACATACAGTGGGGAAAATATTTATTTGATTATTTATTTTGATTATATATTTATTTAATTGCCCACTTACAAAGAAATGAAGGGTCTGTAATTTTTATGGTAAGTGTATTTTAATGTATAGAGACAGAATACCAACCAAAAAATCCATAAAAACACATTATATAAAGGTTAGAAATTAATTGTCCATTTTTTGTTTATATATTTTTATGTCAGTTTTAGTTTGAGTTATTTTAGTACATCAAATTAAAATAAATGGAACTTTTATTTTTACTTGGAACAGTTTTTGTATTTTATTTCATATTACGTTTATTTTATTTCAAGTTACAAAAATTTTTTTTTTAATGGTTTTAATTTTAGTTTCAGTTTTATTTAACCGTAATAACCATGCACTGAATCAACTGAAATATATTAATTTATACAAACAAAACTAATTTTTATGGGTTAAATCACTTTAAATCACTCTTTAAGGTAAGAATTGCAAATAAATATAGTTATGAGTAATTTTGTGTAAAAACGTAAATTTTGTAAGTCTGATTTTAGTTTTTATTAATATTTTGAATCGGTTTTTATTTTTAGATTTTTTATTTTAATATTTTAGTTTTTTATGTCTATATAGTTTTTATTAATTTTTAATGTCAGTTTTAGTTATTTTAGTACATAGAGTTAAACTAAAGTAATATGAGATATAGCTGAAATAAAAAAGTTTTTTATATTTTATTTTATTTCAAATAGCGTTTAGTTACAAAACATGTTTTTTAATGGTTTTTAGTTTCACTTTTATTTAACTATAATAACCAATGCAATGAATCAACATAAATACATTAATTTATACCAAAAAAAATTTTTTTTAATAGGTTAAATCAGGTAAAAATCACTCTTTAAGGTAATGTATGCACAGTAATTGCAGAGTATGCACACTAGGTAGTGTGCTATTCTGAACACAGCCGTGGCCTTGCAGCCCATCTGGCCTAGATGTGCGCTATACTTCAACTCATTAGTGTATGTAGGTCAGGTGGCCTTTAGAGGACACAGGGTCCCTTCAACACCACAACAAATGATTAACACACGGAGAAAAAAAAAACACTATTCAGCAAAAAAACAGACTTTGAGTAATTGTGGGCAGGGAAAGTCAACGTAACACCTTCATCACAGAAGCGCACAGGGATTTGGAGGCGAACGTATTTGCGTCAATTCAGAGCAGCCAATCAGCTGCGAGAACCACGTCTGCAGCGCAATCCATTGGTTGCATGGGTTATTTTGAGTTCAATCATGCATGTGTTAAAAACAAAAATAGGACAAATGCCTAATTAGTCTTAAAGTCATGCATTAAATGTTGCACGCGCTGCAAATAATGAACATCTTCCTAAGTATGTTTATCTTGTTTTCTAGTACACACATCTAAGCATCCTTAAATCAAGATGCATTTACTGGAGGAGCATATGAAGTCTTGTTTTCTGAGAAATTGAACAAAATTGAGTTTATGCCTAAAATTGAGAACAAATATCTGCGAATGGGGAATGAAAACTTCACTTTTTCCTTCGAATCAGGTTGATTTTTCTGAGCCCGTTTGCAGATATTTGTTCGCTTTAACCATAATTTTGATCAATTTCTGTGTATTTTGATTTAAGAACATTTGCACTGGCAAACATGCTGAAGAAGAACAGCACTTTTTTTAATCAGAAGGAAAAGTTATTTTCTATAATCCAGTGGCAGGGTTATTATAGTTAACTAAAACCTTAAAAAATGGTTACTTAAAAAATAAATAAATGTTAAATGAAATAGCATCATTTTCGTTTAGTTTAAATTGAAGTACTAAAATAACACGAACTAAATAAAGTAAAAATTAAAATTAATTTAAAAAGGCAATTAAAAACACAAAATCGAATTCAAAATGTTAACAAAAATATAATATTATATAATGCAGAAATGATATTAAAACAACACTGTTGTTCTTCGTTTATATATTTTGGTCAAATAAACTAAATAGTGACGGAGATTTGTTGATTTTGAAGAGTTGCTAATTCAACTCGTTTAGAAATACTGACACATATTGTGTTCCCTTCAATTCATTCCTTAAAATGTCTTTACATGGTCTTACAAAGGACTTTAAGAAGTCTTGAATTCACCTTCATGGAACCAGCAGAAGCCCTGCATCATGAGCGGACTTTAATGTAAAAGGCAAGATAAAAAAGAATCACATGATATTTGTAAATAAATTAATTTTATTTGAGACAGATGGGGCTGTGCGTTGTCGATGGCTTCATGTCTGTAACCAGTATTACCATTATTACGGTTTATAAAGCCATGCCGTTGATGATTAAAGTTACATTTTATTCATATAATATAATGTTTTCCTCTGAAAACCCCCACTGATGATCATGAGAGCCATGCCGGAGCTGCTGCAGAACTTTACATGTCGCACTAAACTGTACTGAAATCCCCAGAGACACAAAAAACAAAAACACACATATCCCAGAACAGACCCGATTCTAGTTTCTTTTAACTGCTTGTGAAAAGTCTGTCTCTGTGTCTTTATTCTTCTCTTCTCAGGTTCATCGATGAAGATAAAAGGGCAAGACGTCCTGCTCGTGCCGATGAGAAAAAAGGTAAAAAAAATAAAATAAATAATAAAATTGATAGTTCCGGTGCTTGATTCTGATTGGCTGAGCCGCGTTCGAAGCTGTTGTAAATGACTCTACAAAGTAACATACACCTTTGTTTACGTTTGTGTGTTGCTCGGCAACCACTTTGTAGCAACCACAACTGTTTCTGAGGAGCTACATTGTTTGGTGGAAGAATACTGTTTTTATTAATATCTTTACACTTTATTTGCTCCGTTTTATTTTGTGAAACCTAACTACGTATATGTGAATAACCGTTTTATAAAAGCAGTAAGACCCGTGAAGCTGTGAATTTATAACAGCTAAGGGGCGTTGTTAGGCCATTAGCTTTTATAAATTCACCGTAAACCACGGCTTCACGGGGCTTATTGCTTTAACGAATCATCATTGTCATCAACAACAAACATTTTCAGTCCCAGAACATCCACAAGTCTGGGTCGAACAGAAACACTGTTTATTTTTCCAGAATGTATTTCAGAAGAAAGTGCTGCAGACCTATAAACATACTTGAACAGTAACACTCTTTTTACTGTCCTCTGGTGCTCAAGTTCATTCGGAGAAGAAACAAAACGAGACGAAATCGCGTCCAAAAGCAAGCAAGCCCCGCATTAGAAAGACGCAAGCGCTGTGCGACTTTGGAAACAAGCTTTAAACCTGAACGGTGCCAAAAATGTGTTGCAGATCTAGAAGTGCTTTGGCTTCGGAGGGAAGCTGGTTTTCTCGCTTCCTTCTGCAGAGCGGCTCACACTGAAATTGCAAAGTAAATATCTAAGGTGCTTGGCGCTCCGGTGTCGTTCTAGCTGGAGCGGCACTGAACCTGGCTCTCCGAGCTCTCTTCATCATCGGAGCCCTCGGTGCCTCGGCTGCTCAGACCCGAGATGCGGTAACCCATGTTCAGCAGCATCACCTCCAGCGGATCCGCGTTCATGCGCCTCTGGTTGGCTTGGGCCGCGCTCTCCATGTCCTCCACCACCCGACAGTTCTCCTTCTCCTCCGACTGACGATCAGACAGAAGAGAACACAAGTCACGTTTGGTGCAATCAACAGCCTAGCTTCAAAAAGAGTAGGTCACCCAAAACTGAAAAATCAGTCCTCTGCAAGTGAATGGGTGCCGTCAGAATGAGAGCTGATAAAAGCATCACAATAATCCACAGCACTCCAGTCCATCAGTTAACATCTGGAGAAGACAAAAGCTGAAACTAATCCAGCATTTCATATGTCTATAATCCATAATAACGCTTCCTCCAGTGAAAAAGTGCATCTGCTGTTGTCTCTCACATCAAAATCCAGCCACATATGTGTTTAGAGCTGTTTAAACGCTGCTTGATCTGTGCAGATTTCTCTCCTGATTCAGACACTTTTTCACTGGAGGAAGCGTAATTATGGACTCTATGTATTTTAGTTAAACACGTCTTAATGCTGGATTAGTTTCAGCTTTTGTCTTCTCCAGATGTTAACTGATGGACTGGAGTGCTGTGGATTATTGTGATGTTTTTATCAGCTCTCGTTCTGACGGCACCCATTTACTTGCAGAGGACTGAGTTTTCAGTTTTGGGTGAACTATTCCTTTAATGCATTTTTAAAAGCTACTGAATTAATTTACTATTCAATGTCGGGCTGCATCATAAATAATCAACAACATATCTGATTATCGATTATTCATGTCTGCACTGAAAACATTCGCACGTCCGCGTCACTTTATACCAGAGAATATACACATTTTTCTAAAATATTTTTTAGACATTAAATGCGAGTTTAAAACTCCACATGTAACTATTTTTATAAGAGCGGTGACAGCAATGGAATATGCAGTTAACATTTAGTCTGTGCTTTTGTTTTTTTATCATCATTTAATTTAGTGATTTTAACTTCTTTCAAATGGTAAGTAAATTTAACCCCTACATAGAAATATTCACTATATTTGTTTTTTTTATTGCCTTCAAATTGCACATTGTTTGGGCAGGATGTGGAATAACAATTTTGTAAATAATGGATTCAGATTACTTCATTTTTAATTTTCAATTATCATTTTTGGATTATTTTTTTCTGATTAGATAATCAAAATAATCGTTGGTCGCAGCACTAGTTCAGTGCATCAAACCGAACTGAATGAAATACTAAACTGAAAAGTGAAATGAAAGTGATTCTATGGCTGGGCGATAAAGCTAAAAAATTGATCACGATATAATGTTTCATTTCATTCAGTATCGATAATTATATATATATATATATATATATATGTTTCATAACGTTTTTTAAACAAAGAGCAGTAGAAGAAAAGGTTTAAATTTAACCACTGTATTGTTAATTTACCCAATTTATTAAGACAAACAACAAATACTTTTGGTTTTAACAGTCAAACACAAAATAAAATTGAAACAAATATCTCCTTTATGTTTTAAACAATAAGCAATGAGCAAAATAAGTTTATTCAATGCAATGAAATAACAACTAAAAAAAAGTGCATCACGTCTAAACTAACATATAAATCAAAATATAATTTTGTGAATTGCATAAACTAACTGCATCATGTATTTATGCATACCTTAATACAAATAGCCAAAGCGCTGATCGCATTATTACATTTAAAAACATACGAGACGCTGAGGAATGAAACAAAAGATGTTTTCTAAAAGTTTAACTCTTTTAACTTTACTTGTGCGAGACGCGAGTGCAACAGAATACGTGTTCTGTGTGAACGGCTTGGTTTGGGGTTTAATCTAACTAATATCTTCTCCGCATTGAGCTTCTATATTTCTCTAATATACTGAATGGAAAACGCAGCAGCTGTTGCACTCTGTTGCACTGGCGTCTCGCACAAGTAAAGTTAAAAGAGTTCAACTTGTAGAAAACACATCTTTTGTTCCATTCCTCAGCGTCTCGTATGTTTTTAAATGCAATTATGCGATCGGCGTATGCTATGCATAAATACATGATGCATCGATGAAGGTGTAGCGTCGATAATGGCGATACGGTTTTATCGCCCAGGCCTAACTGATTCATTCATCGTTCATAATGAGGTCAGTGGGTTGGTACCTCAGGTCTGGGGCTCCAGAGCCGCACCACGGGGTCGATGCCGCTGGTGGCCAGGAAGCAGTAGCTGGGATGCGGCTGCAGGCAGTTCACTATAGACTCGTCTCCCTGTAAGATCCGCACCAGGTTCGTCGTCTCTTTCTCCCAGATGAAGAACGAGCCGTCGTCTGAACCGCTCACGATGTACTGGCCTTTACTGCAGAGCGACAATCGAACGAGTCACACACGACCAGTCAAACGTTTCTGAACAGTGAGATTTTTATGTTTTTTAAACAAGTCTCTTCTGAAGCATGCATTTATTTGATCAGAAATACAGCAAAAGCAGTAATATTATTACCATTTAAAATAACAGTGTTCTATTTTAATCTCTGTTAAACTGTAATTTATTTCTGTGATGCGCAGTTGTATTTTCAGCATCATTACTCCAGTCTTCAGTGTCACATGATCTTCAGAAATCATTCTAATATGCTGATTTATTATCAGTGCTGGAAACTGTTAAATTGCTGTTTAATATTGTTTTGGAACTTTTGTGATACTTTTTTCAGGATTATTTGATGAATAAAAAGTTCAAAAGAACAGCATTTACTTAAAATAGAAATCTTTTGTAACAATATGCACTACTGTTCAAAAGTTTGGGGTCAATACATTTTTTTTTCTTTCTATTTTTGAAAGAAATTAATACTTTTATTCAGCAAGGATGTGTTAAATTGATAAAAAGTGACAGTAAAGACTTAGAAAAGATTTATATTTTGAGTAAATGCTGTTTTTTTTTTACTTTATTCATCAAATAATCCTGAAAAAAGTATCATAGGTTCCAAAAAAGTATTAAGCAGCAAAACTATAATAAATCAGCATATTAGAATGATTTCTGAAGATCATGTGACACTGAAGACTGGAGTAATGATGCTGAAAATACAGCTGCGCATCACAGAAATAAATTACACTTTAACAGATATTCACATAGAAAACTGTTATTTTTAATTATAATAATATTTCACAATATTACTGTACTGTACCGTACTGATGCCAAACTTTTGAACGGCAGCAGTGTATATATTAAACACATCACTCAGAAGTGATTCATGAAAAGCAAACAAGGTGCCAGTAAACTGACCTTCCGAAGAAGTTGGCTTCTTTAATATCAGTGGTGGTGTTGCAGTGGCCACAGTAGCGATGCTTGTAGTCGAAGCTGCGCTCTCTCAGCACGATCTCATCCTCCGGGATGGACTCCTTCCGGCTGAAGTTATGGAAGCGGATGGAGCTGTTCCCCTTTTTGTCATCAGCTGGATGCATACAAAATATGCAGAGTCCTGATTATTCAAATGCATGCACAAAAACCCCCAAGACCCAAGACTGAACCTACAGGAGTCTGTTTTTGAGAAGAGGGCCGCCTTGATGTCTCTGTCAAGCGCGTCACATGCGCTGCTGTGCGCTTGCTCTGGAAACTTGCCCTTGAAGTCATCTAGACACTCCAGAGCCTCGGCGATGTATTTGAGCTCAAACAGGCAGCGCGCTAAGCGGAAGTGTGCCTTCAGATGACCCGGGTTCAGAGACAAGGCCTTCAGACAGTCCCGCAGCGCGTCATAGTGATCGCCGTCCCTGATCAAACATCCAAAATACACATTTAAGTGTTTATAGAGTGCATTAAAGCATTGAACCAAACCAACCAGCTACAAGGAGAATCATAACATTATGAACATTGATTGAAGCAAAAAAAAAAAAAAAAAAAGTGAATGAAAATCAGACAAAGATACAAGACTTTAGTGAGTCCTGTGAAGCACTGCAAATCATCCAATTAAACACCACAGTAAAATATAAAACTCTTCAAACCTGTTGGTTGTATTTATAGAAACAGTATATTTTAACTTTATTGTAAGGCTGTCAGTCGATCTAATTAATTACATGGTGCGGCGATTAATCGCAAATTAAATTAGGCTGTGAAAATACCCACAAAAGATTATTTAACGCTATTATTGTGTTAAATAATAAAGTATCAAGTAGACATTACAAGGAGTAGCTTTAGATAGAAATATTTGATTTGATTCAAGAAAATGTATTAAACTACAATGGCCGAACCTAATATGGAACATAAAAGAAGAAAACATCTATTTTTTTGTATTTTTTGTTCATGCAATGAAAGTCACTGGTGACCGAAACAGCTTTGTTACCAACAGTCGTCAAAATACTTTCTTTTATGTTGCGCAAAATAAATAAGTCATTCAGGTTTGAAACGACACGAGGGTGAGTAAATGATGACAGAATTTATTTATTTTTTGGTGAACTATCCCTTTAATGTTTATTTATTTATTTAACTATTATTTATTTAAATAAATTAAATGATACTCTCAGTCTAAGAAACTAAAACTGCCAGCAGGTGGCGCTAAATGTCTTTATGAGTCATTCATTCATTCGATTCGTTCAAACAGCTGATTCATTCAAGAATGAAGCAAATGGCTCTCTAACAATGGGCCTTTGAATCATTGGTTCACACGATTCGTTCAAATGGCTGATTCATTCAGGAATGAAGCAAACGGCTCTCTAACAATGGGCCTTTGAATCATTGGTTCACACGATTCGTTCAAACGGCTGATTCATTCAGGAAT